CTTGGTGCATTCCAAACAAATTAGTAGAACATTATCTGTTTTATATCTGTGGGAATAACGTTGTCCTCATTTACTTCGTTTACTACTTCACACCAAATGTGGGTTGGGATTACCATTGAGATGATATGGATTCACAATACAGTATTGTGACGCTCGAAGATGCAATTGCACAGCGAAACACGTGTCGAGGTTTTGTAAACTATCAAGTGGAAATCTCACATTGAAGTGTGTTTTTGAATACGTTATAATGGATTTTCATCAATGATCGGTTAGTTGTATCATATAATTGTGCATATTTTTGACAGGAAAAAAGAGAATAGAACTCCACAAAAAAATTCGGAGAGATGATGTAGATAAATTACACAGGCCAACGATGAAAAAAGGTTTTTACTTAAAACATCTTATTATTCAGTTTTTTAGGGTGCTAAATCCAAATATGACACTTATTAAGCCGTATCACCTAACAATTTTTCACATTTGCACATAAATATATTACATTTTTTGATTTATTACAGAATTTAACAGCTTTTATATACTACAAATAAAATTGTTGAATAATTTGTGCTGGATGTAGAAGAGTTGGCAGCACTGCTGAAACACATTTACTATCCAGAAAAAGGGAAATTATATTGTTCTGTTTAGAGCTGATGTTTTGTTTACTGTCAACCTAACCTTACTTTCTGGTTTCCAGTACATGTGCTCATTAAAATATCTAATCGCGGTTGTAAGAACTCTGCCGACAGTTTTTGTTATATTTGTGGTGGGCTTTTTATTAAAAAACATCAAAGAAACATCAGAGACTTTGTGATAAAGGGTTATTTCTGATATTTTGGAATTGAACTTGGTGATCAGGATGAATCTGGGGCCCCGCATAAGATATGTTATGTTTGTGTTGAAGATCTTAGAAAATGATCAAAAAAGGAGAAAAAAGCCTTCAAGTACTCTGTTCCTATGGTATGGAGGGAACCTATAGAAACTACACTGATGATTGCTACTTTTGTAGTATTGATATTACTGGCCATAACTCGAAACACAAGAAGGTAATAAGCTACCCTAACCTAATTTCCGCCATCCGACCACGATGTAGATTTGCCGGTCCCATTCTGTTCAAACTGGAATGTTTTCTGATGTTCTGTCAGATATAGATGAGCCATATGATGAAGATTTCCAATGTGCTACAGCAAATATAGAGCCTAAACTGTTTACTCAGATTGATCTTAACGACTTAGTTAGGGATCTTGGGTTAACAAAAGAAAAAGCTGAATTGCTTGGTTCTAGACTAAAAGAAAAGAACGTGTTGGCAGTTGGAACTAGCATAGATGTGTATAGGAAGAGAGAGCAACAGTTTTCGAAATTTTTTGAACAAGGAGATGATTTATTGTACTGCTCAGACATTCCAGGTCTGATCAAAGAGTTTGGTGTTGAATACAAAAACAAGACTGGAGGATGTTTATTGATTCTTCCAGAACTAGTTAAAAAGCTGATTTATTATACAATAGTAACACTTATGCATCTATACCTGTTGACCATTCTGTACATATTAAAGAGATCACAAGTACTGAATTTTGAAGGTCAATTGCTGGAGGGTCCCTCTAATATCGTAAACGGTTTTGCCAATCTTTTCAAACAATCGTATACCGCTTCTTCCCCTTTTCAACCAAACTCTGATATTGATAATAATCACTTTCTTGATATATCAAGCTTCAGTGAAAACGAAGTATATACGAGGCACTAAGGTCGCTCAAGCCTAAAAAGACCACTGGTCCAGATGACATTCCAGCTTTCATCCTAAAAGATTGTGCACTTGTGCTTGCTCGTCCTCTATTTATACTAATTAATATCTGCTTAAGATCGGCTACAATACCAAGGATCTGGAAATCATCAAAAGCCTGTCCCATTTTCAAGAAAGGAGATAGACGAGGTATTTCAAATTATCGGCCTATCTCTATTATTTGCAACTTTGCAAAGGTTTTTGAGATTCTGCTGGAGCGAATTATATATCGGCATGTTAGTTGCAATGTAAGTATAAACCAACACGGTTTCATGAAAAATCGTTCAACAGTCACCAATCTTCTGACTGTAACCCAACATATTGTTGAATCTATTGACAATAGCACCCAAACTGAAGTTATTTACACAGATTTTTCTAAGGCCTTCGACAGGCGTGACCATGGCATTCTACTGAACAAACTAGTAGCCTTTGGATTATCTCCATCCTTAATCGCACTCTTTCAGTCCTATCTACGGGATCGAAAACAATATCTTCAGCTCAATGGTTTCAAATCTACCGAATACAGTGCTTCTTCCGGTGTTCCACAAGGTTCAAATCTGGGACCGTTGCTCTTCAATATATTCATTAATGATATTGCAGATGTTATAGATGTGTATTTCCTTTTGTATGCCGATGATCTAAAACTATACTGCCTCGTTGAGAACATAGTTGATTGATCTTTGATTATTCAATAGAAAACGTTTCCCTGGTGAGACCAGAAACATTCACTGATCTTGGCGTCACATTTGACACTGTACTATCATTTAATAGACATATTGACAATGTTGTAACCTCCTCCTGTCGTTTGTACGGATTAAATGCACGTAACAGTAGTGATTTCAAAGAAACTTCGACCTTAAAAACTTTATTCTATGCTCTCATAAGATCAAAGTTAGAATACGCGTCAGTTGTGTGGAGCCCCTTTTATCAATACCACATTGTTAGAATAGAAGCAATTCAACGACGATTTTTAAAACTGCTAAGCCTAAAAACCGATGGCATTTATCCTCCAATAGGAACAACCCAAAATTGCTACAAAATCATATTGAATTGCTACAAAATCATAACTTTTGAAGTCTCGAAAAAAGGCGTGAATATTATAGTGTTGCACTAACCTATAATATTATCAAAAACGTACTTGACTGCCCAACATTACTGGACGAGTTTAATATTTGCATTCCTAGAATCTGTTCCAGACACCCGAGTACTTTCTATATAAAAACATCTCGCACAAATGTTCTGGAGAATTCTCCGATCATGAAAGTAACATGCATCCTTCTTGGTCAGCAAGGCGGTTTTACCAAATTTCCATGTTTTTTGTGTGAATGGGACAGTAGAGCAAAGGATCAACATTGGTGCAGAAAGAACTGGCCTGTGAGGGAGTCAAAAACCTTGTAGACCCTAGAAACATTCTCTTACCGCCTCTTACCACATAAAACAGTTGGCATTGCCTAAAGATGGACCTTGTTTCAAGTATCTCTGTCAGAAATTTTCAAACATTTCAGAGGCTAAACTTAAAGAAAGCGTCTTTGTCCACTTCTTGAACAGTCATCTTGTCTACTTCGCGGAAAATTTGGGAGATGTTAGTGAGGAGCAGGGTGAGCGTTTTCACCAAGTGATGGAAAAGCATTATCAGGGCCGCTGGAACATCAACATGATAAGATAATACTGTTGGTCACTTCACTGTGAAGCTCAACAAGCGACTCATCGCAGAAAAAGCTACACAAGAAACTTCAAAGAAAAAAGAGAAAGGAAGTATAAACCAATTCCATCTGACTAGTGACACCTACATTACCACACTGTATCATTATTTCAAGTAACCTACTGTAAATAAAACCATGATAGTAATTTAAATTGACGCATACGTGCATTTAAAATTTAAATTATATGAAAAAAGTCAATTTCTAGACTATGGGTGATACAAAAAAACCAAGACCAGATTTGGGTTCAGCACAAAAAAATCTATAAAAATCAGCTATTGAAGTAAATGAAGTTTGCAAAAACATTTTTTTTGTTGTCCTGTGATACTCTAAAATTAATGCGCAAGATATGAAAACTGATATGAAAGATACAAAAATGCAGTGAAAGAGATATGAGAAGAATGAAAAGGAAACAAAGAGGAAGTCAAGTCGTTAAACAAGAAAATGTCCTAAAGCAAACTTACGAGATTGTGCTTGAAAATAATAAAGAAATTCGACACCCGGGACCAGATGGAATTTTCTCAGTAATGCCACAAAAAACCGAAACGTCTACTTAAAGGATTGTGTATGTGGAGGCTGATTAGGGTCACCTTCTTTCCGAAACCTGGGAAAACCGGACAGGACTCAGCGATGGCCGCGAGACAAATCAGTCTTATGTCATTTGCATTGATGATATTAAAAAAACGCGCACACATGGATAGAAATTGAAACATAAAATCTGTACAAAAAGAAGTAATCAGAATGGATCGAAGAATATATTGAAAGTATCGATTAAACAAAACAAAGATAACAAAAACTCTTTGAATGTGTAAAAAACATTGTAATGACTATGGTACTACGCTAGTACCAAAAATTTGCAGAGAAAATGGGAAAACATTTTTACTAATCTATTCAAAGGCAGTGAAGCCTCAAACAGAGGATCATGATGAGAGAAAAAAGAAGAAAACATTCACACATATATAGAATTCATTAAAGTAGTAGAACGGCTGGAATCAGTAGAAGCTGCAGGACCAGAAGAAATAAACAAACAACGAATCGATAAATATTGGAGAGGACGAACCAATTCGATATATTTATAATGTAATAAGAGGTATCTGAAAAAATGAAAATGAGATAGGAGCAAATAATAAATATTTACAAAAAAGAAACACAATGAACACAAATGACTATGGAGAAACTATGCTACAGAATACTGCATACAAAATATCGTTCAGTATCATGAGATGAGTATTAGTACAAGTAGATATTACGATTGTTTGTTACTGAGACTTCGATATATAACTTTCGTCCTCGCAATAAACGCACATACCACTGATGATGTCTGCCGCAGTAGCAGACGAAACGTTTCGATTTATCTATCGATAGCTTTTGAATAGCAAAGATTTCGGTGCAATTGTGAGATCGATCATGAATTTCTCTGAATTAGTTTTATTGATAGAGGTTTGTGAAAAATAGTACCTGTGGCAGTTCTGGTTGAAACTGTCAATACCAAACCGTATTTATATTTTCATTTCGATATTTGTTCTCACCTCTACGACAAAACTCGCATTGGAGTCGGAAGGAACGGAGGCATTCGTCATTGCCGATTGCGTCGAATCTGTGCTAATCCAAGAAGCAGATGATGCTGTCGATCGTATGCTTCCAGTTCCCGCTCGTTTCTCTAAATCACCGGTGCTTCGTTGTTTCTTCAATTTCAGGCCCTGGAGAAAAAGTTAACTTTAAGGTTCGAAATCTATAGCTAAAACGATTAAAATGAAATAATCAAGATAAAAGATGAAAATGACCACAGACTAAAAAGAAATAGAAAACTGAAATAAGCAAAAAATGTAATGAAAACAATTGAATCCGAATGTGGTTACTTCAGCATGTTTCGATTGTTAGTATACACAGTCATCTTCGAGTGATGACTGGACTATTCTGAATGACCTATAATAGTCTGGTTCACATGTACTCGATTTAGCTCTTTTTGGTGACATTTTTCAGCCCTGTCCAAAAATTACGACCAAGGTGTCATTCGATTCGTATTTTTGCCTAGAAAGTTTAAGGACAGGTCCGAAAACGCGCCGATAAAAATTACGAAAGTTATAAACAATTATGTGAAAAAAAATAAGGCTTTAGTTTTTTCTTAATATCTCGGAAAATTCTCAAAATTTTGGAAATTCGAAAACAGGCTTGAAAAGATCAATGAATTTGCGTAAAAAAAGTCCCGACTCCCGAAACTGTATATCGATTATTTATAATTTTTACAGAGCCCTGAAAATAAAGCCAAAAGCGGGTAGTCTGGCTTCCGCGCGCCTTTCGTCACTCTGACATAAAAACAAAAAAAATTATTATTTATTGATGTATCCCAACATTACATGAATTTTTTCATTCCTTAATATTTACATTTAATATGTTTAAATAATTTTTTTTGTTTTTATGTCAGAGTTACGAAAGACATGCGGAAGCCAGACTACTCGCTTTTGGCTCTATTTTCAGGGTAAAAATTATAAATAATCAAGATACAGTTTCGGGAGTCGGGACTTTTTTCACGCAAATTCATTGATCTTTTCAAATCTTTTTCCCAATTTCCAAAATTTTGAAAATTTTCCGAGATGTTAAGAAAAAACTAAAGCCCCATTTTTTTCACTTAATTGTTTATAACTTTTGTAATTTTTATCTGCGCGTTTTCGGACCTTTCCTTAAACTTTCTAGGCAAAAATACGAATCGAATGACACCTTGGTCGTAATTTTTGGACAGGGCTGAAAAATGTTACAAAAAAAAGTACATGTGAACTAGACTATAAATAGTCATCTCTCGGAGGAATCAGTCCAGTCATCACCCGAAGACGATTGTAGATACTAACAATCGAAACGTCGTGACTTGGAATCCCTCCAGTTTTTATTTTTATTCCCTTTTTTCATTTCTTTATTTTTATTTATTCAATTGTTCTATTTTTACTTGTATTTTGTTTCACTATTATTTCATTCCAGGTTTATTTTGCTTAATATAATTGTTATTTTCAGCTATTAATTTTCAATTCTTCTTTTTTAGTTGTTTCAGGGATTTCAAATCATTTTATATAGTAGACAATGGAAGTCCGAACTAGTGAAATTCATCATGAAACATTGTCAATCACCTTCAAACACAACCTTTATTCATATCAGCGACAAATTCTGCAAACCAAAGGAAACGTATTTGTATCTGGCAACACTCATCGAACAAAACAGACTCACCGTAAAAAGTCCCCTCCTGACGTTCCCCGAGCCCAGCGACCTCCTTCTCGCCGTCGGCTCGGAAGAGTTCATCTTGAGCACGAACCCGCCCCTGGAATCGTCCACCCTGCGGTCCCTCTTGTCCTGCAGATCGGGATTAGGCCCGCCTGGCTGCGCCTCACTACTCCGCAGCGACGTCAACGACGCCCGCAGCGTCTTGTTCGCCCTGTATTTTGACGCCTTGCCGAACGGAGCGCTTTTCCTGATGCCGTAACCGTGTCGCATTCCTCGCATCCATTGTCCTTGGTACGTGCCTGGAAAGAAAGGTATGTTAGGCTAGATTGAATAATGACTGAAATGAATGGATGAGGGATTATTCCTAACATAAATATTGCCTCCAAACGACGGAAAAGTATGGAATTCATGAAATAAGCGGTAAGGACGCTGAGAGAAAGTTTATCGGGCAGACTAGACAAATTATTATGATTTGATTCACAGAACACGCGGCGAATATCTGATTATGAACAAATGCCGCATGATCCGCAACCGCTGACCACAGTACATGCCTGAAAAGAGTAAGTGAAATAAATTATTATTATGAGATTATTTCCAACAGAAATACTGCCCATATGCGACAGAAAATATGAAATTTGTAAAATAAGCTGTGAGAACTCTGGGAAAATGATGTTGGACAGATCAAAAGAACTATTATAATTTGTTTACAGAACACGTGGCGCATATTTGATTTCAAAACTATGCCGCATGATATTGTCCTCGAGTCCTCGGTACGTGCTTGGTAGCTTTGATTTATCCGTAACTTTCGAGGTATTAATGAAAATATTATGTGAAGGGGATTCAAAATGTTCATGGAATACCTAACGTAACTAACTCAACAAATTTGGTGAGGGCTATTGACGTATCCGTCTGAACAATTTTTGAATTATCACATTATATACAACCATTGTTTTAAATATTGAAATGAGTATATCAAGCTGTCCTTGAAAGATAGACATATGCGTTTGCGCTTTTTTTCATTGACTCATAAAAGAAGACCAATACATAGTGAATAGTTTTGCTATATAGGTACTCATCATACCTGAATATACGATTTGTAAGTTGTTAGTTGTAATCAATGAATAACATAAAGTTAACAAATCAAAACAAGTTTCGATTTATGATTGAGAAAAGAGGCATGAATCCATCTTCAAAAATTCAGTCCTCGAGGAGAAAGAGGATCGACGATACAAGTTGCCACTAGGACTGCATGATCAGAGTTATACATAACCATCATGGGAGATACTGTAGTAATACGGCTAGCAAGGGGTTGCTCTTAGGGTGTATTTTGTTTCCAATGTTATGGAAACTTCTGATAGACAAGTTACTACGTCTCCTGGGCCATTAAGAACAGCTATGCAGACGACTGAGTCACCCTATTCCACGGCAAATTTAATAATATAAAGAAGGGGCTACCGCATGTAGCAGGCTCTGAATATGATATCAAGAAGAATGGAGAAAGAATAGCTTAACAAGCTCATCCAATTTGACCATAGTAGCATTTAACAAGATGATCACAATGGGCAAGGATCTCCAAAACTTCATGATGAATAGTTGTAACTGTATGAAGATGTTGAATATTTGTGAGTGATAATTGAACCCAGATAACATTGGAACCATTTTTTAAGTAGATTAGATGCATACAGTAGTGCAGGTAGCACTGTTGCTGGAGAGTTGCACCTATAAAAAGACATGGCTGGAAACGAACATGATGTATTAACTACACTCACTGGTGTAAATATACTTCTAAAACATGGAAGTAAGCAATCTTGCAATACTCGAAGAAAATCAATTTCAGAACTCAACGGAATATGTATATTAATATTCTTACTGATCTTCACTGATGAACCCATATCTGTATTTGTATCTGTAGAGTGGGAAGGGTGTGTGTAGGCCCACAGCACTTCCTTAGTTGACAGTGGCTAGTCAGGAATCCTACTGTTAAGCGTAGATTTTTCCTGGTCAGCTTCCCAGGGTCGCCAAGGGTGATTCTGGCAAGATTTCATCCCATCTATTTAGGTGATGAACCATTAATTATACAGAGACTGGTTGCGAAAGACTTGAATCACTGGTGTCAGAACACTTTGGGCTACCCAACCAAAAAGCTGAAGAATACAAAAAGATGATCACAAACAAGTTCTTATATGCAGTGTACGACTTCAAAGGGGAAGACCTAAATAGATAGAAGCTGTGAAAATAGACTTACACCAATTGCAAGTCAAGGACTGAAAACAGCTGAAAAGAAACAGGAAGGAGTAGAGAAAAGAAGCTAGGTGCCCCCTTGGCCTGTGATGCTGGATTTAAATATAAGTTGAAAAATAATGAAAAATTCAGGTTTTCTATAAAATTAAACTTTTGAAAGTGTTTTGAACCATTTCACTATTTGCGTCATTCTTATTGGACACCATGTGAGATGCTTGAGAATGATACGTAATAGGAACTCAACCAAAAGAACATAGTAGGTTGATACTTCATACCAAGCTATGGACTTTAGTGGCAGAGGCTTTCATAAAGCAAACAATTCAATGATTATTCTATATTTGTCAACTAAATAACGACCAGATATCTGTCTGACGTGGAAATCGAATGATTCACGTCGTTGGTCCATAGGCTTTGGACTTTGTGAATTCATTGAATAAGTCAGTTCCAGTTGTACCATTTGACATTGACTTCGAAATTAGTCACATCGATATCTTCTATGGAAGAGAGCAGATAAATTCGAGACCAGTTTGTCCCCTCGTTCAAGTTGAATTGCCAATTTTCAAAAAAGAACTCGCGGGGATACCCAATAAAAGGTATTTCATGTTCATATGCTAGGAAGTACTTGTTTTCCAATAAATATCCACCATTTACCTACCTACGTATCGTCAAATAATCTAATAAGGAAGTTATGATACCAAACACCATTTCTTTAGTCAATATTCAAGTAATATCAGACAATACGAATAATAAAGGGTAATTCTCTCTTTTCTGCGAAAAATGATCAGTTTCATTCAGGTCTATTCTTAATAGAAAAAGTAAGGAAACACCCGCTTGTTTCGTTTCGTTTCGTTCCAGGAACAGGAAAGGCTAATAGCGATTATCCTGCGAAGGAAAAACCACTCTCAAACACAAACGTAATTGATTGTAATTTGTCGACAGCAGCATTAATGTCTCGTTTGACCTTGACCTAGAAATGTGACTGTAAATCGATCGGACAATTCTTACACAGGAAGGATAAACGCATTTCTGGATAGGAAGTAATCCCGACGGAAACTTTCTGTTTATCGAAATGTTTGGAATTCCACTACAGCGATAGTTCTATTAGATTGAGTGGGTCAGGAGGACTACTTTGGAAATGAAAATGTACAGGTCTGTCACTAAGTTTAGACATTATGAACTTTTTTGAAATAACATACATTAAAAGGTTTTGACATTTTTTCAGCATTTATTTTCAAACATTATGTGCATATTCATTTATAAATGATTTCATTTAAAGAGGTTCCAAAAATTTAGCCAGTCCCTCGTTACTAAATATAAAATGATATTTTAGTGTTTGATTGTAAAACGTAAATTAGGCATTACTTTTTGTCACCTTCAAGCTTAGATTTTAATAGTTGCGAACACCCTACTATGTGTAGGTTTTCAGACAACTTCCAGGATATCAAAATACAACTTTATACAAGTTTATAGCTGTGTATCTAGAACCTACTAAGATGACTACTATCAAAACTAAAGTATCTTCTACTTGGGGATCTAGAAGAATCTTTGTAAAGAGACTCCGCTGTCCTTAAGCGTGGCGAAGGATTTTTTATACAGTGTCGAGCCACAATGCCTAGTCGGTATTTATACAGATATCTTTTATGATGAAAGTGATCAAAGTGAAGACGAATGCGTTTTGTAGTTTACATATGTTAAATTCAAAATTGTTCCGCAACAACTAAAAAAAAACCTTCTTCACTGCTTCACACGAAATGAATAACAGAAGTGTATAAACAGGTTCAGCGGAATTATAAACCGATGGACTGATCTAGTGCTATAACAAATTGATATGTGATAAACATTGCGTCCGAGGATAATTTACAGTACCAGTAAACATCCGTTGTTTCGTTAATATCGACACTTTTACTTCGAAAATATTGTATCTATTTTACCGAAGTGCTGATATTTTTCCTTGTGATGAAGTGGTGACGGTACCTAATTGAATGTGAGTTTGAAAGACACCAACAAAAAGAAATACATTCCCAGCAATACATTATGGTAATCGATAAAATATATTTCCTGGATATCCATAATACATCGACGATCTATTAAAAAATATCACCAAGCTAATATTTGATTTTGCTGACAAAGAACAAGACAAGAACCGACGATAAAGTTCACAATAGAGACTGAGCAAGATGGTGAACTTCCTATTCTTGACGTCAGCCAGCATCATGGATGACAGACGGTTTGCAAATAAAAAAAAAGAGCGGAATGGACCGCTACAAAAATTAAAAGAGACTGAAGAAGAATCTGACTTTGCAAAATACAAAGAATTAAGAAATTATGATCTTTTAGTAACTAGTAATGAGAAAAAACCTTATATTAATGATAAGCTGAAAAATAGTGATTCAAAAGCTTAGAGAATAAAGTGTTTGTTCTATTCGTAAAACTGTCATTCCTTACAATATAGCCAACTGTAGTACATTGAAAAAAATATTTCTCTCACCTGCAAAATGTTTCCAATGATTGTGATGAAAAAATACATTTTCACAGTAGCTTAATTCAAGGCGAACAGCTAAAATTCTCTTTTCGCTTAACCACAGTAGTGTAGTAGTAGTAAAAATTCAAGATGAATGCTTTTGGAATAGATAATATAACCTCGAAAATGTTATCCGCCTATTGACAAATATATAGTTTCACCTTTCATTAATATTTATGATACGTAATTATTTAATAAGGCGATCCTAAAAGATTTTGGTAAATAGAGCATGCTCATCTGATCTTGATATATCATAAACATGGCAGATATTTTAAATGTGGTTGAACGTTGTAGAGGAAATATTTATGCAGATGATTCATATAAATTTCAGTAAGACGAGTTCAGGTGCACGTTTGGAAATTATAAACAATGAACTGAGAAAGGTTGACAAACAATCTGACTAACACTGCAACAGATTTCAGAAAAATCTGAAGTAGTTTTTTTGGAAAAGAAGATACTCGTGAAACGAATATAGTTATTCACATAGAAGTTCAACTTGAAACATACACTATGTGAGTCGCTTCTTTTGTGTCACTT